CAACAGTGTGTCGCTCTCACCGTCACCACCATGCCCGCATCCACAGTTGCACTATTGTAAAATCCATCTTACTGAGAGTACCCCTCACCCCCACTGACACTCTATGACAAGCATCAGTGATCCCTCCTGCAGCGAGCTGGGCTGTTTGCTGGTCAGCCATAACGTTTGCATTGATGAATGTGCAGAAGTAGACGTCCAGGCCTTTCTTAGGATGTCTTCATCTGGCAGCTCTACTGACGCCTACTCAACACAGGCGACGTTATGGCATTTGAAATACGGATGCCAAAGCTTCGAGCATCACAGCAACATAGGCCACCAGAATTCTAAAAACCAACAGACAGGTGATGCGATTTTCTATAAGTGTATGTAAAAACAGTTAAGCAATTATCCCATCTTATTTGTTAAATAAGTCTTACTTCATTCTTCTAACAAATATTGAAGTCATTCGTGCATACCAAAAACATCTCCGAGATCTAAAGTACAGCAGTGAAGAAGAGCCGTCTGTACCGTGTAACTTCCTTTATTTGTTGGCTAGACAAGCACACGTCCGTCTCTGGACTTCTGTCTCTTGCAGCTGCAGGCATCTAAAGTTCAGGCGCCTTATTTTTCCAGTACAAGAGCGAACCCTCTTCTTAGAATTTGTATTCTTCCCAGAAAAAGAGTGAACCACTTCTTAGAATTCGTATTCGTCAACTCTTTTGAAACCTCGGGGCCCTCACATCTCTTTACCTGTATGTGGACCTACCGACTCACGGAGGTCAAATCAAAGCACTGTGGTGGTGAGATGTTGTCGAGTTGGTTTCAAACCATAGAAATGCCTGTGTCCAGCAGAAGGAAACACTGCCTGGTCCTCCACCATCTCACAATTGTTCCTATGCTGGAGTCCATGGTTACAGCCACTGCGTCTATCCTTGAGAATCTTCTCCTTTTCACACACCCTCCCTGGACCAAATACTGGTCCCACTTGATACCATTTCCAAAGTACGAGAGACTGTGTCTCCCTACCCTCACTGCTAAGGAGCCTCTGGCTATACTTCCTACAACAGAGATGTGTTTGTTCTTCTGGAAGTCCATGGCATATTTAATATCCTTCACCCCAAACCATCATTGAACAGCATC